AAAATACAGTGAAAAAAGTGTAGTAAACACAATCAGAACACAATTCTTACTCAGAATTGTAACCAGAAGAGAAAGGTTATGCTAAATCTTTGTAATGATTATATAATTAGTGCTAATTAACAGTTAGATCTATAAAAAGATGTTATCAGTGGTGGGAACTCAGTTACCGAAATGCCTCACAGTCTCACACGTGGGGAAGAATCTGGGGGTGCGGCCTCTCCAGCCGTAGATGGCGTCCTGTAGACTCGCAGGGGCTCAGCGGCCCCCAAGTTCTGTGCGGGGTTGGAAGGGGCGGCATTTCCAACGCTGCTCATCAGAAAGGTTCCAGAATACAGACCTCTCAGTGAAACTCTCAACACCTCTTAGTTTCACAAGTTTTGTTATCTAATTACTGAGACAAAGGAAGCCTGCCACCTGGCTCTTAGTCAAGGACCAATAACAAGGCAATTTATGGTGTTAATATTTAAGAAAAATTTTGACATTTCAACTGTTAATTCTGGTGGACCAACAAGGTCTTTTTGGCTAAAGTTAACTACTGCTTTGCAAAAAAAGGCCCAATGCTATCTTCTAATATGACCTAAAAGTAACAACTCTAGTAGTTTTCTAAGTTTAACTTTTGAGCAGTTGAAGCTAGAATAACTTGTATTTATATTACCCATTGTCAGATTTGCATAAAACTGAAATAAATGACAGCCATCCTTCCCAAGGGCTTGTTATCAGTACATTCACCCTGAGCGGCCACTGACCTTGGCTTTGGAAATTCTAGGAATTATAAGACATGGTTCCTGCCTTCAGGTGAACTTATAACTTGGTTCTCTCTCCACACAGCACACACACTGCTGTGTGACAGTTAAATTTATATGTCACACTCCAGGCAGAAACTTGCCTAAGGATGGAGAGGCGAGGTGAAGCCTGCAGGTTCCCTCTGACTGAAGCCAGGCGCATTTCATCTGCGCAGTGGTTCCAGCACAAAACAGCCTCCCTCCTCTGGATCTTGGTCAGAATAATGATGGCAAGGTCAATAGTCGTCAAAAGCTCTTTATTTGCTTGGAGATAAAATCAGTATTGCTGTAGAGATGTGACCCTAATTGAATAAAAGCTAAAATTGAGAGCTGGGAAACGTTTCCTCGCTGACGGTCAGTGGGGGCGGGTTCACGTGGAGCAGTGCCTGGCGCAGGCTTGTTTGTGACTCTGCTGGGCTGCTGACAGCGGGGCGCGGGGTCCCCTGGCTGTGAGGCCCGCCCTGCCCCGCCCTGCGGGGTGCCCAGGTTCTGATCACTGTCCGAACCGCGGCGGAACTACGTATGCCATGCGTCTGTGTCAGCTCTGCTTGTTGTGCCCTGAATTGCGTGTCGGAATTACGTGGTTGTGCTCAGAGGAGCCAGCTAGGTGGCAGGAACACGCTCCGTTTCCTGATTTGGTTATCATTGACCTGGAAGCATGGAATAAACATTTTGTAGCCAGGACTTTTGGCCACCTGTGGCTCTGCCCCCGGGCCCTCTGCGGATTCCGTCCCTGGGGTGAAGCGTGTCCCTCCTGACCCGGCGGCCCTGCTGGGTGTTGAGAACGGTTCTGTTTTTCTACCATCCATGTACAAAAGTCTCACAGAAGCATGTGGAGAGGAGTTGAAGAGGAAATTTTTCTTTCTTGGCCTGAGATGCCACACTGGGGCTGGAGGGGTGAGTGTCACCACGTCCACCTGTGGCCGGCTGGAATTGTGGGGCTCAGCTTGAATTCCTTGTCGCAGTCAGACTTCATGGTGTCGGGACGGCTGGTTTGGGGCCACGAAGCAGCGGAGCAGGGAGAGGCTGGTCTGTGTGTCCCAGGCTGTCCCCAGGGGCCCGGCTGTTGCCTTGTGTTCTCCGTTTTCCGTGGGCAGCCCCGGGGAGAGCCAGGGGACGCCGTGTGCTGTGAGCGCACGTCCCCTCCCTGCTCTCTGCAGGGACCGTCTTACCATGTCTCAGGGAGGCGGCGTGAAGCCTGCGTGTCTGTCCCCGGGGTCCCCAGATCCTCTCCCGTCTCTGTGTTGGTCGAGGGCAAGCCACCTGCTGGCGGTTTATCCTAAGCTGTGCGCGGAGATGATCACAGATCAACCTCATTGTGGGAGGCGGTGCGTGTCCTGTGTAAGTCGGAACAGCTGCTTCCTTCAAACTGCATACACTGTGAGGCCTAACTTTAATTTTGTTCTTGAAATCTATGTTCTGGGACCATTTTATAATAATAATACATTCATTTATAATGTACCTTCTCACTGAGAAAACGACGTCTCCCAACGGGTTCTAGAGGAGTCCAGCTTAAAGGGAAGCCTGCTGTGGCTTCACTGTGGGCTGGCCCCTGGCAGGGTCCACCCCTCTGGGACACGGGGACATTCTTGCTGGAATTCCAGGGCTACTTCAGAGAAAAGCAGTTATGAGAATTTGCAATTCTGTAACAGCAAGAGCAGCCGTCCGTGTCATGCCCAGGCCCTGGAGAAGTTCTGGGAGGGTCCATAGGGTGCTCCTGGGACTCCTGCAGTCCCTCGGACACACCTGCCCTCTTAGCTCCCACAGTGGGGTCTCTGGGTGATTCTCGGCCCCGGGGTCAGGTGCTCCCCTGGCCCTGTCTATTCGTGGGGTGTTTGTAAAGGAGGGACAGAGCAGCTTGGTCTCAGTTCCTGAGTGAATCTGACCTGAGTGAGCAGGCAGAGGGCGACACTGGCCTGTAATGTAGTGGGTACTGCGTGCCCTCTCCCCACGCCCCACGAACACACCTGTAAGGAGTTTGGCGCAGGCAGCTCTTGCCTTTCCCAAGTGCCTAGGTGGCCGGTAGAGGTGGGGACAGGGGTCAGCCGAGAACTGTCCCTCCAGCTGAGTCACGCTGTTTAGTGAATGCTGTGATTTAGAGTGAATATGTGGACCAAGGGCATGACCGTGGTCACACAAACCCACTAACCCGCTATTCACAGGCTGGTGTCTATGGTAACACAGCTCTGATGCTTTGAGACCAGGAAACAGGAGTTAAATTGTGGGTCTTCCACGGAGTAGCTGTGACCTGGACACTCTCTAAACCTCCTTCTTGCTTATGAAGTGATGATATTATAATAACTTTCCTTCCTCGCAGTGTCCTTGTGAGTGTGGGGCTCCCTACACGCCCTGCCTGGCCCCCAGCAAACACGCAGGAATGTTTCCTATAATCATTAAGCCTCATGCACAAGATGAAATTCTTTCTAGGCACAACCTCCTTTTAACATTTTTTTAAAATTAGTTTTTAAATTATAGCTGACAAACTAGATATTATATTAGTGTCAGGTGCACACCATAGTGATTAGACATTTATATATAGTACATAGATTTCTTTTTTAAATATGTTTTACTGATTTTAGAGAGAGGAGGGGAGAGGGAGAGAGGGAGATAGAAACATCAATGATGAGAGAGAGTCATCGATCGACTGCCCCCTGCACGCCCCCTACTGGGGATCAAGCCCGAAACCCGGGCATGTGCCCTGGGATTGGAGCCTGTGGCCTCTCGGTGCCTGGGACAACGCTCAGCCACTGAGCCACACCACATATGGGGAAAAATATTGTCCTGCTTTCTTCTGTGACCTCGTGTTATTTCATTTTTGTTGTTTAATAGTAAATAATGTTTCTTCTGAGATGTTGACATAATGCACAGTTTTGTTTCACTTTGAAGTGCTGTGGCCAGAAACCTGAAGGTGGAAAATCTTCCCGAAATTTAGGATTTGTCAAAAACTGTGAAACAATGTCACAGGGTAGGCATTTGCCGATGAGTCACAGCTCAGTCACTGCTGCCCCGCAGGTGTGCCTGGCCCCGCCCCGGGCCCTGCCCCAGAGGGTGAGCAGGACAGAGGCACTGGCCACACCCGGGCTCCTTCCCAAGAGCTGGCCGGACCCCACCTGCACAGCCTCGGTCAGCCTCTGTCAGCCTCTCACCCCTGAGCACCTCTGGGACTGAATATAGAGGCAGGGTGGCATTTGGGGGAAGTGTGTGGTGACTTAGTCCTGGGGGTTCAGTCTTCCCTGGCTCCTGATTGGAGACTCCTGGAGAAAACACTCTCAGTTCTCTCTCTGCGTCACCAAGAGCCCCCACCTAGTCCGTCATCCAGGGAGGGAGAGCTTTGGGTGAAGGGCCATCACACCTGGTGTCACCTCTGCGGCTGTCGCCTCTGTAGGCTGGTGACGTCCCTTCACACGTGACCAGCTCCTCTGTAGCTGGGTAGTGTGCATGGGAATTACAGTTATGCAAGGGCCTCAGATCCCTGCAGAGGCCTGTCCCCACCGTGGGGTCCCCTGAGGGCGAGCCAGGGAGGCAGGGGCTGCCGCCAGGCCTTGGACCTGCTCCCTGTGGGACAGTTTGTGGGGAAAATCAGCGAGTTCTCCCCAGATCAGACGTGGAGAGAGCCGTGGGGAAGCTAAGGACTGAAACCAGCCTCCATCCAGATGAGCTGCCTTCCCCAGAGCTTAGTCGGGTGGCATGCCAGGGTTTAAATGGAACCCTGTTTTCCCGCAGTCACTGGGATCCCAGTATTTGCGTGGCCCAGGCCGCACCCTGAGTGCTGCCCTGTCCCCTGAGTCCTCGGAGCCTTCTGCCCCGTGACGGGCCGCCTGGTGACCATGCCCAGGCTCATCTGGAAGCCACGGCTCTGGTTTCCTTTGTTTCCGGTTCTACTTGGCTTGACGTTAGGCTCAGTATAAAGCCTCTGGCAGCCTGATGCTAAGATGAGCAGTAAGTGTATTTGGGGGTAAATTCATCTCCCAATGTGACAGTTATTTTCATTTCCGTGGCTCTTCTACACTCTGATACAGCAGAGCGTGGGGCCCGCGGACGCTGAGGTCCTTCAGCAACTCCCCAGAAACCCTGAGAAGAGTCTGCCCATAGAGTCCCTGCTCCGCAGTGTAACTCAGCACCGAGACATGTCGCAGCAGAGGCCTCTCGGACATGCAGTGTGTCTGGCATGTTTTTACCTTGTCAGCGACTCACAACAGGTCTCTCTCTTTCTCACAGTCTGACAGCAATGCCAGCTTCCTGCGCGCAGCCAGAGCCGGCAACCTGGACAAAGTCGTGGAGTACCTGAAGGGGGGCATAGACATCAACACCTGCAACCAGGTAGGAGGGGCGGGGTCTGCAGGGTGCCGACGCCGAGGCTGCTTTGTCTTCGCCGAGTTCACTGTCAGTGACCCAGACTATGGAAGTCCGTGTTCTCCCCGTGCCGACTTCTGAAGCCCCCAACATTTGTGTCCAGGGCTGATGTTGCTGGGAAAGTAGATCAGACTAGCGAGCGGATGTGAGCCCGTCTGTGACGCGACCGGGCCGCTGGGGCTGGAGTGCCAGCCCGGAGCCACACTGCGCCTCATTTAACGTCACGCCCCTCTGCTGTGGGGCGTTTGCTCGTGGCAACTGATTGCTGCAGCTGGAGATAGAGAAATAAGAGTATAAAATAAAAAATGTCCCTTTCGCCCAGAATTTTAGGGTGAGAAGAGTTGACAACCTGGGCTGAAATGAGGTGTTTGAAAGTTTTACCCATCACCCATTTGATGAGGGCTTTAGGCAGAAATGTCCACTTTGGACATTACTTGGCTGCAGGGATGGTGAGAGTTTTGCGCTATTTTAGACTGAGATTTTTATGCCATAAACTTAGTGTCAGCTGTGCTCCAGTTCTCCAGAGAGCGCGCTAAGTGTTGGTGGAACACGCGCACTCGTGTGCATGCCTCTCGTGTCATGTGGCTCGTGTGTGTGCGTGCATGTGCGTGTGTCTGTGCACGTGGGCACGCTTGACAGAGCAGACTGGGAAGTGACGGTCCCGGCTAATTCTCAGTGAACAGGAGGGGCTCTTCCTTGACATGAGCCACGGCACGCACAGGCCCCGTCACTGGTCCCGTGTTTTGCTCTGATGGGGTCGGCGGGGGGCCCTAGGGAGCTGGCAGAAGCAAGGTGTCGACACAGCCTCAGTTGCTGCTTTTGTTGTGAATTGTCCCTTGTCTCTGACCCAGGAGACTTGTGTCTCTACCACTCCTGTGAAACCAGCCGCTTTGCTCTTTACCTCGTAGGAGAGACAGAACCGCGATCTTACGTAGTTCTTGACACTGACCTGGAAAAGGCCAAATTCCTTTGTCCCAAAATGTAAGATCTTCATATTCTGTGTCTGCATTTCTTATCCATCTGACTTTCCACTGTGATTCTTACACGTTTTCACTGTTCTTTTGAACAAATAATTTGAGCTTTAGGTACTAATTAGTTACTTTAATAGGCAGAGAATATCCAAATTCCCACATGGATGTATGAACTACTTCCAGAAATGCCCATGAGACTGTGAAATACTTTATAATTTTAACAGGTTACCTTAGGTTTTTTTTTAAAGTATATTAAATACATTCCCTAAATTTGAATATTAATTCATTAACTTTCTAAATTTGCTAGAGAATAGGCAATGAAACTATTAGTTCCTTTAGGTAAAAATTATCATAAATATGCCAAAAAGAACCCAGGGAAAAGAAAGTTAACCTCAGTCAAACCAAGTCCACATCACCCTAAAGTATAACAAATATATTTAATTGTGTGAAAGATCTTAGGGTGCTTTTAGAAAAATGATTTCTCAGCAGTAAATACTCAATTTGCGTTGTGGCAACAACTTCTTGAGTCCTCAAAAAGCTTTCTGCAGCCTAACGTATTTTCCTTGTAGAGGCCACTGCCCGCGGCCTGTTGCAGGAAGGGACGCCTGTTCTCGTGAGAAGGCAGCGTGACATCACCAAACCACACGCAGCGCAGCGCCGGGGCTTGAGTTCCAGCCCGTGCTCGCCGCCCTCGGGTCATCTCAGCTCGGAACGCGGCGTGCGAGTCCCCACACCGGGCAGTACAGCACATGCAATTGTACATCACCGGGTTGCAGTGTAAATTAAATCACGAAACATGAAGGGCTTTCTGTGGATACACGTGTTCTCATTGAGTTACTATATGTAATCCACCAAGAACCAAAAGAATTAAAATTGACCTCCACACAAAATACGAGCTTGCTCTCCTCAGCTGCCTGACTTCAGTGGGTGTGAAGTGAAAGTTGTTGCCTGGCGCTGGTTCTCTGTTGCTGCTGTGCAGGAGTGTGTGCTAAGGAAGGGTCAGGGAAATGGTGACTAGGCTTTGGCTGAGGGCTTTGCCTGTGATGTTTTAGCAGAGACCAATGCGGGGCAGTCGTCATTCCCCCGGGTTAGAGGCAGACACAGCCCATGAGCGGCTAAGTGATCTCCCCAGGGTCACTGCTTCCGTCTGTCTCCCACGTACAAGTCTTCCCTCCTGCAGGACATCTCCCCGAGATGCTTGGACCTGCCCTTCAGTGTGCAGAGGTGGCCTCCTTTATCTTCAAGCTCAAATCTCATTTTTAATCTCCCATTGCTAATATAAAATGAATTTATTCATCCTTAGATTAGCGTGCTAGGTAGTTAAAGGAACTTTTAAGTCCAAGAGCACCACCACCAGGACTGCTTCTAGAACTCAAATAAATTACAGAACAGAAAATGATTTCCCAAAGCCCTGGAGAGCAGGAGAGGCCACTCTTCAGCGAAAGGGCGGCTATTTTTAACTGCGTGCAAGCTCAGAGCTAACTTGGCAGGTGGGGAAGCAGAATCGGCCTCTGTTTTGCTTGTAAGCCTCAATTTCTGGGGAGCGCGGTGACACGGAACGTGGGGCCAGCACTTCCTGCGCCCTGCGGTATTTCTCAGTGGCAGGCGGCCTGGGCTGCACCAGCTCTCCCAGAACACCGGCGCTGGCACCCAAGATTCCTCAAACTGAAATTTGGATGAAAAACTTTTTTCTTTATAAAATTGTCTCATAACTAGGAGAATTTTGAAATTCAATCCAAAAATACCATTTTGTTTCTAATCAAAGGATATGGGGAAACTCATAAATTTGGCACAAGAAGATATTGTTTAATAAAGAAACCCCTTCAAGTTCTCATTTTTCTTTTCAAATGATTACAAATCTGTTAAATTTTCTTTTCTCTAAAAGATTAAAGTATTAAATTATTTATCATATTGTCTCATATGTTCAGAAAAGAGAATCAATTTTAGCACTTGCTCTTATTTAATAATTGTTTGTAATTTAATAATGTCATAAGCGAGGTTAACATCCAGCCATTAAAAATAGGCTCTATAACCTTTTCATTAAAAATTTGTCACAAGTCAAGGAAAGCCTCACAAGGCTCGGACCCTTTCAGCCTCATGCGCACGGGGGGAGCTGGCCTTTGCTGGAGCTGGCCGATCTGGAAGGGAAGGGCTCAGGGACGCCGCTCGGGAAGTGGGTGGGTGCCGTGCTGGGAACTGGCGTGGGGAGGCCCCTCAGCTGCTTGTTTTTCTCCGTGGAGTATGAGTCAAGGTCATCAGCTGAGAGCGAGGATGGCAAGGGTGCTGGAGGCGGGAGGGGAAGTGAGAGTCGTGTGCAGGGGGAAAGTGGTGCAGCTGGCGGAGCCGGCCGCGGGCGACGTTGGCCCCGAGCACGGCCAGCTGGCAGCGTGTTCTGCTGGGGCCCCACGTGGGCGTGGGTCTGCTGGAGTTAGCAGCGTGTCATCAGGGCTCTGGTTTAGCTAAGCCAGAGAAAGGCTAGCACCCCAGGGTGCCTGCAAGTTCATGCGGGGAACGTCTGCCGAGGGAGGGGAGAAATGGGCCCTGGGAGAGGCGAGCAGATGCCACGAGTGGGCTGAAGGACTGCTGAGTTGGACCAGTAGGTTGGCAAGAGACTAGATAGTGGTCCAAGGGTTGCATGCTGGAAACTAAGGTCCTGGAGGGAGGTTATGTTACTGGAAATGACTGGGTCTCGAGTCCAACCATTGAAGTGAGTGGGTGAGGCAGGAAAAGAGATGGATCATGTGCAGGGAAGCAGGAACCTGACCGTCTGGAGTTTTGAGAAAATCACCTTCTGTATGTCGGAGGAAGGGACAGCAGACCAGAACCTAGTATCTTCATGGGACAGGGTTTCCTCCGACTGCTGGCCCCTGGAGGTTATGAAATGTCGAAATGAAGACTCTCCTTTTCCCATCCTCACTCCTCTTATTTGCATCACAACAGTGAATATATGATTGTCGGTGGTTTAATAATAAATATTCTGGGGCTCTTTGGGGACAGAAACTATGTCCTGTGTGCTTTGCCTCCGCCTTAGGACCCAGCACCTGGCGCTGAATACCTGGGGGTACCAGCAAGTCCTTGAGCTGATAAGCTTGTATGGGTTATGGATTTGTGCTAAGATGCAGAAGAGTTTAATGGGTTTTGATGCATTTAACCTTCATGAATGTTCTGCTGTATCTTCCTAAATCTGTCCCTCAACTTGTCCAGATGGACCACCCCACTTCTTTTCTGTACGTGCCAGGAATATAACTAACGCTTGAATGGCTCTATAAAAAGTTTTATTTGCTATCTGTTCTACCTGGGGCTTTATGCGCTAGTTCTATATGATCATAGAAAAGCAGTTGATGGGCAAAAGATCTCATAAAATCAGCAAGAGAAATGATGAATGAGCTTATTGTCAAGTCTGATTATAAACAAAATGTTACAATATCGCTTAATAAAAATTTAATAGAAGCTCTAAAAAGATAACTCTGCCCTTTAAGGATGATTCATGTGCACATAGTTGTTTCAGAGTAGCACTGAGACCTTATTTTTTAACTACTTGCTATATTTTAATTCCAAAAGGTGTGGAATCAAAGGGTGCCTGGCCTAGGACCCACAGTCCACCAACCTAGTCCTTACCTTGCTCATATTAGAGCTCATGAATCCTTGCTGATTATTTCAAAGACTCAAGTTCATATTATTTTATTATATTAGCTTCCGCAGGCCAAATATCAAGGACCCGTCCCTGGCGGCCGGCTTTGGTTGACTCCCAGGTTGGTGAGGAACCAGGAGCATGTTTGGCAAAGAAGAAAAACAAATAGTACTTTATTTTTGAGTCAAATGTAAAAGCCTAATCTTTTCCATAAGAAAATCATTCAGTATAAGCTGTGCAATGACTGCAAACAGGAAATTTGCCGCATAGCAATTTGCGCCTGTGCCCGGCACTCCTTGTCTGTGACAAGATGCGGAGATGCCACCTCTAGTGATGTCTTCCATGAGTTTTTCAGTGCTGTGGTGAGTAACTGAGTTTTTAGGAATTAGATAGATGGGAACCAGATATTAAAGTACTGTCAGAGGTTATAAAATAAATTTAAATTAAAAAAAAGAATAGAGGACAAGTTAATGACAGGGCTCGGTCTTTTAGGTGCAATATCATCCCTGCAAGGGTGTGTCGCCTTAGAAATTGTCTATAGCTTTTAAATCACTTTTTATGAAAAGGACATTTCTCTCCCATTTGTTAAAGAGAATTATTTAAAGCTATATTCTAGAAATTGGACCAGATTGTATTTCTGGTTGGCATAATAATTGATACGGAGTTGCTCTTTTTTTTCTCAGCATGGAAGTATTTAGATATTTCTTAGTTAAAAAAGAAGTTTGTTTACATGATGTTGCCCAATCCACATTCCTAATGAATATTTACCTTTTTGCCTCTCTGAATCAAGAACACTGGGAATTGTTCTATGTGAACCTAACAGCTTCAAGCTGATGCACAAAGAGAGAGAGCCGTGGGAAACCAGAGTCTGTCGTCTCCGGCCGTGTGCGTGCTCAGGGTCAGGCTCTCCCCTCCCCACGTCCCCTCTGAGGCCTTGTCTCTTCCTCTGCAGAATGGACTCAACGCCCTCCACCTGGCTGCCAAGGAGGGCCACGTGGGGCTGGTGCAGGAGCTGCTGGGCCGAGGGTCGGCCGTGGACTCCGCCACCAAGGTAGGCGCCGCTGCTCGGGGACACGGCGCCATCGAAGGCTCCTTTCCCGGCTGCACGTTCGGGGGTTTGCTGGGGCACCGGGATTCTTAATGCGGAGAACTAACGGTGCAGAGCGGGGATGAGTTCTTTAGAGAAGTGCTGGACTGGACGCTGAATTCCGTGCCCCTAGCTTCCGATATTCCCGCTTTTTCCTTTGACTCACATAGAGACTAGGTTAATATAATTCTCTGCAGACAGTAGCACCTATTTTCTTAAGGTTAATTTTTAAAAAAATAAATTGATGTAGTAAATGTCTCGATGAAAATGAACAAGTAATTTTCATGCTTTAATTAAATTGTTATATTTCTAATGTGTGCATTTAACTTGGTAAGAGAATATACAGAATCCTTTATACTCTGATAGAGAAGAGATTTGGGATCATGGATTGAATTATTATGATAGAATTAGATTTTGCCACCATAATGTGCTTGTGAAGAAATTGGACTCATTTTTAAAGAAAAGTACCAGGGGCTGGGGTACCAGAACCTGCTGCCTGGGACTCTGCTTTTGCTCAAATCTATTTGAACGTTGCCATTGGGAGTCATTTCAGAAACAACAGATATTTTCAAAAACAGCATCAGGGGTGACCAATCTTTGTCTTTAGAAGGTGAAATTTTAATTTGGAAGAAAATAGTAGCCAGTGAGCATCAAGCCTGCCGCCCCCAGCTGGAGTGTGATCATCACGGCTGTGGGAGGTGCAGAAAGAGGTTAGGGGTAGGGTACAAGTAGTGATAGGGATAGGGGTGGGTTCGGGGTAGGGTGGGGCAGGGGAAGGGTGGGGGCGGGCACTCAGGTCCCCCCTGGTGTGCTGCTCTAATCAGAGACGTTCAGGGCGGCTGCTGGAGTAATCAGGGGCAGGGCCAGTGAGCTTGGACTTCAGGCCTCACGCGTGAGTGCGGAGTGCAGCCTGCCCTTCTCCCGGCACCGTATGCAGCAATTCGAGTGGAAAGGTGAAAAGCAAGCAAAGGGTTCTCCGGCAATTCCAAAGAAGTTAAAATATAAGTTCACTGTAAGCAATCAATTTCTGACTCTGGACATAAAGATAATAAGCGCTTTTATTAACATTTCTCTTGACCACATCAAATAAATGTTAAACATTTAAAGAATATCCTTTTGAATGTCTATAAAATTATTTGCTTCCCCTGAGATCCCCGTGTTAATGGAATATATTCATTAAACCCACCAGTCTTTGGTTGCTTAAGTGTTTACTAGTTTTCTTTTTTTTCTTTCCTTAATTGATATTTTAAGACATAGGTTCCTTCTTAATCCTAGATTTAAATGTAGAATTGAATTTTAGACCCAGAAAAAATCTCACAGGAAGCCCTTCATTTAAAGAGGAGGCAGCTGAGCCCTCACAAAAGAGTGTGAGGACCAGTTGGAGGTCGGTGAGCAGGTTGTCCGCAGGCCCCCGAGCCGCAGACAGGGAGAGGGCTCCGGAGGCTCCAAGCCTTGCGGGTGGAAACTGGCTTCTTCCCAAGCTCGGCTACTGTCTTGATAGAATGACAGGTTCTAACGACTTGAAATCATCGGCAACATTGAAAATGTCTGTAGTATTTTGATTTCTACAAAATTTGGAAACTGGTAACATTTTCTATTTTGTTTCTTCAAAACAGAAGGGAAACACGGCTCTTCACATCGCCTCTCTGGCTGGACAAGCAGAGGTGGTCAAAGTCCTGGTCAAGGAAGGAGCCAACATCAACGCACAGTCCCAGGTGCCGTATCCGTCCTGCTCTCTGATGTCACGGGCCTGGTGGGGCTGACTGAAGGCTTTCGGGCAGGAAAACTTACTGTAAATACTTCAGCTCTCTGTTTTGGCCAAATTATTCTATTAACCCATGCTATGCCATTTCTTTCTTTTTATATTTTTTATGTATCATGATCTCCCTTTTAACATAACTGAAAATTTGACAGGTGCACAGCCTGTCCTCATTGTCTTTAAGTGCATTAAAAAGAAGATTAAGCATTTTTTCCCCAGAATGACAGCGACATCTGTGAAATGTGAATTATTCACGTAAGTTCTGTGTTGCTCTGTAATAGTATTTTCTCTGCTTCATTGTTTAAAATCTCCAAAGATTAACACTCTATTGGTGAATCTGTGGAAGGCAGGGAATCACACTACTTTGGTTTCATCACCAAAATGTGGGCTTCGGGAATCTCCCAAGGGAAACAGGAACGTGGGAGAACCACAGCCTGGTGAGGCACATGGTGAACACAGGACAGGAAGTGCGCGTTCTCAAAAGGAAATTAAGAAAAGTTTTAAAGGACTAACCAAATACATCATATGATAAACCTTAATCTTATATATATGTATTTTCTGGTGGAAAGGGGGAGAAAATGTTGGCTCTGCCCACAGCTTTCCTCGTGGAACCTATTGTGGGTTGATGTAGAAATTGAGGTGCACAGCTTCATAATCAAATCCATCCTCTGTGTTTTTAAAGGGTCTTCGCCCTCTGATAACACAGGCATATCATGGGGCTGTTGGCAAAGCCAACCAGTTCCCCTCATCCATTGGGGTTAGCTCCCCAGCTCGCTGGCGAAGGCCTTGCACGGGGTGGTCACCTGTGTTGTTCAGCTGTGGCTGTGGCTGTCAGGTGTAACCGGCACAAGTTCTGGACCACAAATAGTAAAGGGCAAAGATTAGAATCAGCCGTTTCCTTTGACATTGGCTGTAGGGAGGAATCTGTTGAAATTACGAGGCCAGACATTGCCTGTTTTTACCTTTGTAATATCAAAGTACTTTAAATAACCCCGTTCCCCCTACCACCCAATTTTTAGTTCAGTACATGTCAGTGGTTTAACATTTATTACTGTAACATTCTAAAGTCTTTATTAAATGAAAATTTTTAAATTGCTGCCATCTGTAAAGAACTCTTGTGTATTCTGTAAAGTATGACGGCACTTTGGGCTTAGAGACACAGGACTCTAAAAGTCTGCTCCAAAGTAAGGACCACTAGTGTTTTTTTATAGTAAGAGAGCATCTTGCCTTTGAGCAGAGGTTCTCAAACTTGAGCACCGGGACACCCGCCGGGCTGGTGACACATGTTCCTGGGCCCCGCCTGAGTTTCTGCCTCAGCGCTGGCTGGCTGGGACCTGAGCGTTTTCCTTTCTCCTGGGCTCTCAGGTGATGCTGATGCTGCTGGTCCAGGGGCCACTCTGAGGGCCACTGCTTTGGAGTATGTGAGGGAAAACTGGGCGCAAGAACACTGCGTAAGACTCACTAGATGTGGACTCAGCTGCGTGCGGGCCCAGAGTTTGTGCGCTTAAGAAGAGTGGGAAAGAGTGAGAGCGACAGCCTGGGTCGGTCCCATGGCCCACAGGCTCGTTTTGACGGGAAGCCCCTGTGATGTTAGTGTTGTTAATATCCACACAAAAAGCTTGGTTATTCCTCTCAAAATGAGTAGCTGAACATAGTGATTCCCTATATTGTCATTAAGAGATAAAAATAATCTTTATTTATACTGTTAGCTCAACGGAAGATTTATATTACAGGGAATCCTGACAAATTGCTTCAAGTAGTTTTATATTGTGATAAAGTTTTAGAGTGAGAAAAATTAATAATTAAAATTTAGGATGTTTTTCTGAGTGCCTGAGTCACTTGATGTGGCCCGACATTATTTGCTGTATGGAAAGTACACTCTGTTGTCCTGGATTCCTTGCCCCTGTTTTATGCTCACACTCTGTTATTTTAATCTTGAAAATTTTATTCTAAAAAAAGTCTTTTCTATTTCTAATACAAACATGAGTAGGCATATTTTATTAATTTTCAGGTTTTCAGACCATGACCATGAATGCTTATTACAAGATTACATGACATTTGATTATATTCTCAGAATTTTAGGGGTGCATACACCCACTATATGCAGTGATAAACGCCTGTGCAGGTGAGGCTTCCTGTAGGCTCTTCTTCATTCGAACTGGGCTGTGAAGAGGAGGAAGGCAGTTGCCCGGAGGCCCCCCGCATGGCCTGCTTCCATATGGTCTCAGAGCTGTCCTTGGCTCTCGACACAAAACTCACAGTGGAACATTCCGTTCTGTCTCTCTCTCGCTCTCTCTGTCTCACACACACACACGTGCACAGTGCATAAAATGGGATTCATGTTCACAGATTCCAAAGAAAGGTTTTGTTTTCAGATTTCCCCCTCTAAATGTATACACGTGGCATTTTCTCAATAGGGGTCTTGGTTTTTTCAATTGGGAAAATTACTGCTGAAATTCAGATTCTCTGAAGTTAAGGTGAAGACATGTACTGGCATTTGACCAGCGGTGAGAAAGGATCAGGACACTTGTGCTGTCTTTTGACTCTGAAAATCAGTTTGTTGGGTGAGCACAATTTTGCGGGAGCACCGGTGTACCTCAGCATTCCTGCTCAAGTAAAGGACGTCTTCGTCTGCCGTTCTCTCTTCTCTGATTAGCTTGGAGAACTGATGAGAACTGACATCTTTAAAATATGAGACAGCATGGAATTATTACCTGCTGTACCAGTAGAATTCCAACAGTAAAATCACTAGTCTGCTAAATGCACACATACATCTGGGAAGCAGGACAATGTTTTCATTTGCAATAAAATAAAGCAGTTTTTCAATTTTGAATTATAATTAATACCCCAACTTTGTCTTTGTGCTTGTATCTGGGGACAGGTGATAGGGAAAAGCTGAGCACTAGTTGCCATTTTGTCCTAAAAATTGAAGGAATTAAGGCTGAACGTCATAAAATCTAGATCTTTGGTTTATCACTTTTTTAAATCACTTCACAAGCCCAATCAAGTCTAAAATGACTGCATTTTATTTAATTTTATTTAAAAGATATATATTTTTATTTATTCGAGAGAGAGGAAGGGAGTGGGAGAGAGAGAGAAACATTAATGATGAGAGAGTCATTGATCAGCTGTCTCCTGCACGCCCCATGCTGGGCATCGAGCCCACAACCCAGGCATGTGCCCTGACCCAGAATCGAACCTCGATCTCCTGGATCCTAGGTCAATGCTCAGCTGCTGAGCCACGCCAGGCAAATTACTGCATTTTAAAGGAATGGAGTTTTCAGTAAGGCCAGCCTGTGGAGAAGAGTTCAGATAGCTTGAAACTCCTACAGAGGCCCTTCCTTCCGCCCCTCTGAGCTGGGTCAAGGCCAGGTTGCTCGGCTGGGAACAGAGCAGCACCTGGTGGTCTACCTCCGACCTCACGCCTCACAGCCAGGGTCACCTTCCACAGCCAGACTTAGGGGACACCCTCCAGGAGACCTCACAACAGTGGTTCTTCCAGGCAAAGGTCACAAACAAAACACAGGGTGGAAACAGGACATTATGTCCAACTTGATAGAAAACTATTGGAAGTAACCCCTGCCCCATCCCAGTAGATGCTTGGGTGCCAGGGTTCGCTCTGATATTTGCCACAGGTACAGTGATGGGAGCAGGGGCATCTGAGAAGTGATGGTTCAGCTGCTCTTTCTCTCTTTTTTATTGTTTTTACATTTTTAAAATTTTCAGCCACAGTCTACATCCACTACTGTCCACACCAGCTTCAGCTGGGCAGCGAAGCCGCCGGAAAACCATGCACCCCACAGAGTGGTCTCTTTTTTAACTCATAGACAGTTTTTAAAATTTATTTTTTTCCAGCTTTTTTGAGACAAAAAATTATAAGATAGTTAACATAATGATTGGATGCACATGTACATTCTGCAAGGACCTCCCAGTCAGGTTAACTAGCACCCATCCCCTCACGCCCTCTCCTCTGGTGAGAGCATTTAGTCCTGCTCTCCTAGACAGCGCCCACGGCACGCCCGCTATTAGCCCTGCAGCCCGTGTGAGACGCTAGATCCCAGGCCTTATGCATCTTACAGCTGAGAGTTGCGCCTTTTTACCAGCCTCTGCCCACCCACCCCCAGGACCAGAACCTAGCCTGCTCCTCGTTTCTGGGAGTTCAGGTCGTTTATTTTAGGTTCCTCCTACGCGCAGGGTCAGGCAGTACTTGTCCGCCTTGTCTAGTTTGTGCTGTTAGCATCCGGCCCTCCAGAGGCCTGCTGTCTAGTCCTGTCTGCGCCTGGATTTACTTACCTACGCAGCAACAGGAATCATTCTCGTCCATGAAACTTAGTGGTTGTGAGACTGAAGGAGAGTGTTAACTGCCTGAGGCCAAGCGGCCGGGTGTGGCCAGCCGCTCGGAGGGTGAGACCAGACGTCTCCAACCGTGCAGGTCACAGCACAGGGCGGAGCAAGGCCGACTTCACACCCTGAGGTATTTACATCTAAAGAGTCTGCCCCTGCACTTCCATGATTCTGTAAATACTCACTTGCCACAACCAAAAAAGCAAGCTAAGGTTCTGTTAAATGGCCTGGACAGCGCCTTAAGAACACAAACTAGGATTGATGCCTCAGTGGCCAGAACCGTTAATATCTCAGCATTTGAAGGCATAACCGTCCATTTCAGCACCATGACCGTGGTTGTTGGGGGCAGGTGTCCTCCAGGAGACTCACGTGACAGGTCAGCCTCGTTGTTTGTTTCTGGGTATATTTTCAAGCCAACACATCCAGGCAGGGCAATCAGAATATATTTTTATTTAAAATCTGATTTTTTTTGTTAATCCTCAATTGAGGATATTTTTTCCATCCATTTTTTAGAGGGGGGGAGAGAGCGAAACATTGATGTGAGAGAAGACACATTAATTGGTTGCCTCCCACATGCGCCCCAACAAGGGCCAGGGATTGAGCCTGCAACCC